AAGAGCGGGGCGGGTTTCGGTTGTTCCCTGATCCCAGCGCTCCGCTCTGGAGGGCCGTGCTGCCCTCCTGAGACCCAGCTCCCGCTGGGAATGCTGGACTCCTGGCCTGGATAGGGGCAGAAAGGGAAGCCGGTGACTCCGTGTGCTCTGCTCCGTCTGGTCCTCCCTTCCATCGGGGAGCCATTTCCTCAGCTCGTCTTCATCCCCCAGCCTCTGTGTTGCCCCATTGCCTTGCCCCACATCTGTCATCCCAAGGGATTGCTCCCCTCTGCTTAGCTTGTATGGAAAAGGTAGGAAAGTGTTGGAAAAGCAGCATCAGGGCTTGCTCAGCCAGCCCCAGGGTGCTCTGGCTTGGTGATAGCCCCCTGTTTTGGCTGTGAAATCGCAGTGCTCCATCAGGAACATCTTGTCCCCTCTCTGCCGCCCCAAGACGTTGCCGTCCCTTGAGGGATGGCAGAGAAGCAGCTGCTGGAGGTTGGATCCTCTCCTGTTGTCCTCGCCGTGGTCAGTGCTGTTGCCATCAGGCCTCCTGCTGCTGACGTGGTTTTTGCCGTGGTTTTTGCCTGCTGTTGGTACCTACAGCAGAGCGTAAAGGCAGCGAGTCCGAAACCAGGACCATGGAGCTGCCTCATCTTGGAGGCACCTATGAAGAAACGATGCCCCTTTTCCTTTCCCAAAGGCTTCCTCTCTGCTGTGCCTTGGCCTGGGGCAGGGACAGGGACGCTCCTGTCCCACCCGGCCGGGATCTGCTTTGGCACCGTGCTGGGATGCAGGGAATACGCCCAAGGCAGCTCCTTCCCTGAGCCTCATTTCGGACTGTGAAGCAGAAGCTGCTCCGGTTAATTCTCCAGAACGGAGCTCCCTGGATCCCCAGCGGCGTTGCTGGAAGGACCTCGGCCCGCCCGGACACCGTTGCCTCCCGGCTCTCCATGAGCTGCTCCCGCCCTGGAGCCAGCGCAGGGGATCCCGCCGTGGCCTCTGCTTTTTATTTATCTCCTTTTTTTTTTCCCTTATAAAGGTGGAGGAGGAAGCAGCAGACAAGGATAACAAGAACTGCAGTAAAGACAATATGTGCAGCAAGGTAACGGGGCCGAGACCAGCGTCCGTGCGCTCCGAGCCAGCCCGGCCGCCGCGCGGAGCGGCTCCGGCCTCGGCGTTCCCGACCCTCTTAGTGTAGAACAGCCTCTTTTCCCTAGTGGCTTCTCCTTCTCGGAGGGAACGGCAAGATCCAATTCCCTGCTGCTGCTTTCCATGGCATGAGGACAATGTTTTGATGGCAAAAGGGACGAGCGCTCCGGCCCCGCGCTTCCGCTAGGGATGAGGACTCGATCCTGGAAGCTGCAGCCGGCTGTGCGCTTCGGCCGGGTGTTCCCTAGGGATGGAGCAAAGACCCTTTGGGGTGACAACCCTTCTCAGTGCTGCTGTAATAGAGGGGAGCAAAACCCCCCGCGTCACCGCGCGGCATCAACGCGTCCCTCACGCTGCTCCGTCCATCCATTCCGCATTAACTGCCCAGCTTTCCAAGCCAACAGTCTCAAGCGGCTTCAGGATGCGCCAGGTCCAACAGGGAATGTCGCCTGCCCATCCCTACGGGGCTGCGGCTCCGGAATTCCGCTCCTTTGCTCCAGCCTTGGCCCCAGCCGCGGTCGGAGCGTTTAGCGAGGCACAAAGGAGCTTCCCGGGCTGCGAGCTGCTGCTCACAGTGTCATCCCCAGAACGCCGGGCATCAAATGGGGTCAAAACCCCTTTTTTGCCTGGTCTGGAAGCCGCAGGGGCCGGTGCAGGACGTCGCCTGTCCCCAAAGGGCTCCGTCCACTCTGTGGCCTCTTGCCCAGCCCTGTGGGGCCCTGGTGCCTCTTCCCGGGGCCTTTCCCTAATGGATCAGTGAATGGAAGGCAGGGAACTTGCTTTTCCTTCCTCCTTAAGCTGCTTCTTCCGCTGTGCTAACCATCCCATTACTTCCCTGTCAGGAATATGGATTTTTGTCCCCGCGTGGTTTGTGGAGCTCTGTGTGGCTTCGGGCTCGGGGAGGCCTCGCTTTGGCTCCGGTGGCTCCGGCGGCTCCGCAGCCCTCGGCTGCCCCGGCCCCGAGGAGCAGCGGGCAGGGAAGGGCGATTCCAAATCGGGCGCCATTCAGACCCGTCACTTTAGCAATTTTTCTCTCCCTGGTGTAAAATAAAAAGATGGATGGACCTTGGCAGCTCCTTTTCCGATGTATTTAGTGCTCGGCAAAGCGCTGACCGTCCCTCCCTCCGGCAGCAGCTCGGGAA